GGATGACCTTCTTTAACGGCTCGTTTGTTGGCTTGGAGCCCTTGTTCTGGTCTACTAATTGCACCTTGGTTAGTTGCTTCATCGCCGTAGGCTCGATGATGTCATATGAAGCGAGCGCCGGGCTGATCTCGACCATCCTGTCTCTCAACATGGCGACATCGTCGTATGGTAGAGGCGCTCCGAGGAACTCGCTGATTGCTCGAATGATCTTCCAGTCTGTCCTGGCAGCGCCGGGTAATGAGGTGGCAGCACGAGTCATCTGTGCACGGCCCTCAGTGTTGACGTAGGTCCCGGCCTTTTCTGTGTAGGCAGCGCCGGGCAGGACGACGTCGGCAATCTGTGCACCGCGGTCACCGTGGTGACCCTGATAAACGACGAATGCGTCCTTGGGGATATCGGCATCAGCGAACTCGTCGGCACCGAGAAGCCAGACAAACTTGGGTTTGGTCTCGGCGACAGCGGTAGAAGGTACTGTAAATCCAACCTCAAAAGCACCCGCTCTCGAGGCTGCTCTTTGCAGTATGTTGAATCCGTTGTGTTCCTCAGTCAAGAAGTTTGCGGCGTTCTTCTCGACGAAGGTGCCAATAAGCTCATAGAACGCCTTGGCGTCCGGGTGATCTGTCACACCAGAGCCAACCACGATCATGGGCTTCTTCGCTGACTGAAGCTTCTTGCCGAAAGGACCAGCCAGGGCCTTCTTCAGAGAGGCGAAGTCGGCACCGAGATGCTCGAATTCAAATATAGAATCAAAAGATTCACCCACAACACCAATCTCCAGATCCGCCCTCAGCCATTGCTTTCGAATACGGGCGTTCAAGCCCGCGGCCTCGTGTCGTGGGTTGGTGCCGACGAGTAGTAAGCAGTCGACATCTTCAGCACCGAAGATCTTGGAGTTGAAGAGATAGTTCGATCGAACGTCAATACCGTGAGCAAGAGGCTGGCTTCCCGAGGGCATATCGAGGGCCAAGTTGTCAGACCCGAGTTTGTTGGCCAAGTCTTTCATGGCAACTAGCGACTCGACCTCGGTGAGCTCACCGGCGATGACCTTGAACTCGTTGCCCACAGGCGCGAGCTGCTGGTACGCCGCCGCAATCTCGCTTAATGCCTGCTCCCAAGGGGCCGGCTCGAATTTGCCTTCCCGTCGTACCAGTGGCATGGTTAGACGCTGAGTCTTCAGACCGTCGCAAGCGAATCTGGTCTTGTCGTTGATCCATTCCTCATTAATGTCGTCATTGAGTCGGGGAAGAACCCGCATGACCTCGAGCCCTCGTGAGTCCACACGGATGGCGGATCCTAAGCCGTCGAGGACATCAATCGACTCGGTCTTCTTTAGTTCCCACGGTCGAGCCCGGAAAGCGTACGGCTTCGACGTGAGAGCCCCGACGGGACACAGGTCGATGACGTTACCCGACATCTCGGAGTCGAGGTTCTTTTCTAAGTAGGTGCCAATCTGAATATCATTTCCTCGTCCAAACGAACCCATCTCAGGGGCTCCAGCTATATCGTTTGCGAATCGAATACACCTCGTGCAGTGGATACATCGGTTCATCGACGTCTTGATCAGGGGACCAATATTCTTGTCCTCCACCCCACGCTTACCACTGATCTCGTGGAATCGACCCCTGTCAGCGCCGTATCGCATAGACTGATCCTGCAGGTCGCATTCGCCGCCTTGATCGCAGATAGGGCAGTCTAACGGGTGGTTCGCCAGGAGGAATTCCATCACTCCCTCTCGGGCTTTATGTGTAAGTGGCGAGTTCGTCTTCACCACCATGCCGGCTTGCACGGGCCAGGCACAGGAGGCGACGGGTTTCGGTGCGCGCTCGACTTCGACTAAGCACATACGGCAGTTTCCGGCTATCATTAACTTTCTATTTTATATTGTCAGCAACGTGGGTTCGTTGTCGGGGCGGTCGATGGCACAGGATCGTACTCATGATAACAATATCTGTACAATATTAGCAAAGGGTTTCTTGTAGGACTCTGAATGCTTTAAAGACCGACCTAGGGATGGTAACACCGGCCTTCTCGCATGCCTGAATTAACGCTGATCCGGCTGCGGGCTTAATTAATAAAGGCGCTCAACTACCTAGAAGAGGCGAGTTATGGCTTTATACCTTCTATAGATACCTTCTTTCCATCTACAACAATGTCAGTAACCATCCCAGACCCTTCGATTGCAGCTATAGAGCAAATTGCTCACCAATTGTAAGCTCCACCTCGGCTGGCCGGCGTGATGTCGCAGAAAAAGCTCTCGAGGAATTGGCGGCATACCTGCCAGTCCGCCAAGCCGAACGAGCCAGAGATTGTCGAAGCATCGTATCGTCTCGACGGAATTAGGGGACGAAGGAGGGAGGAATAGTAGGTCGAGGGGATGGGTGGCGGTCAATCGAAAGGACCTTTTTCAAATGTTGACGTCTCTCTTTCGAGGTGCTGGTTCGGGAATTAGTGGACGGTTCTTCGAAGTGGCGCTAGTGTTCAGTTGCGATTATTTTCAGACTCGTTTTGATTGGTCATAGCTAAAGTTCTGAAGGCCTTATCTTTGAGGCATCAACTAAGAACCGTAAGCTCGGACCAAGTGAAAGGATCCACATTTGAGCTTGTATTCTAATTTGAAATTTCTGTCCGAGATCTTTCCTTCTTCTTCCTTTCATCATCAAATTGTACATGGGCACACTTTATTGTAGGTGAGCTTGAGCGAGCTCCTGGATTTCCAGTTGCTTGCTGTAGTCGAGTCTTCCTCTATCTTGTGCTCTAGAGCAAAATACATATACGCCGATTATGGAAGCATGTGAGAGCTTCCGAGTCTCGAGGATCGCTGCCTCTTACCGCCGGTCGTTACATACCCTTATACTATATACCGAATAGACTCAATAAATACTGTTTTTTGTTTGGAGCTCTTCCTAGCCGCTGTTTGAGATGCTAGAAGTCGCCTGTCTTATGGCATTCGATCAGATTCGAAGACCGCCGAAGTACACCGACATAAGGTCATGGCAGCGTGCAATTTCGGGTGTTGACATGACGCTGTGTGACGCGGATGTTTGAAATTGAGCGTTTGCACTGTAATAGAGGTAGGTATATAGTCGAATCAATCACCTTTCTCCAGAACCCGGTAACCTCAACCTTCTCAATCTTCTCAATTTCCTTAGATATCTTCAACTTCCTCAATATCCTCAATCATGGACTTGTTGACCCAAATGAACAATCGAAATGGAGCTCTTGGAATCAGCACCAATCACACGATCGGCGACATTGCGCAGGTAGTCGGCGACCGTCTCGAGGAGTTTCTGCGGGAGGAGTTCGCAAGGGAATCAGACGAACGCAAAGTTGCCTTGGAAAGAGTTGACCACGATATTCTATCCCTCCAAGAGACCGTCCGCGAGATCGTGCGCGACAAACTAGACGAAAACAGAAAAAAGCACGTTCTCAATGGTATTAGCTCTCTGGAGAACGGCTGGACCCGCCTCAGGTCCGAATACAGTTCAAGTCTCGATAAATTCAGACGAGCGTTTGCCAGGTCCCTCCACTTAGTCCACACAGATATTCGGGCGTTACATGGGTATATCAATGATACGCTATTCCCTCAATTCATGAAACTGCCACACGAAATCCGAGCTATGATTTGGGACCTAGCTATCCCTGGGAGACCTCTTGGCGTCAGTTGGATGTTCGAGGATACCCCCTCTGTCGTGTATGGATTCGATATGCTATCTCCTCCCTCAATGGCTTCTGTCTGCCAAGAATCCCGAGCAGTGGCATGTCGAAGCGGTAGGCTTGTGCGGAATTGTAACACAATATTCCCCATGACCTATTCCGAATGGAGCTGGTTCGACCCAAGCAGGGATTCCCTCTGCTTTCTTGAGCATGACGGAGAACATTTACCCAACGAGGCCGCGTTAGAACCTGTTAGATGTACTCAGCACGTCACATTCGCCATTCCTATGGGTTATAAGCAGGAAATTTACTGCAAGTACATTCGCTTATTGGAACCTCATCTCTTCCCGCACTTGAAGACCGTTGACTTCGTGGTGGGCCAATATACGCACCAGGACAACGTCAACTGCAATCGTGCGGATCGATTATTCGAAGTAGAGGGCAAAGACGGGCCATTTGCTATCGATCTCAACGACGAAACCGCTATGAAAGCTCTGATATATAGAGGAAAACGGGACCACTCTCATAGTGATGTCGGGAAGCTAGAAATGGTGCAGCAATTCGAAAGCCGGAGTAAATTATGGGGTAGGAGAGTTAACTACCCGACCCGGCATGCAATCCTGAAAATGGACCGCTGCGATTTCTTGAAATCTCTGGAAGAGAAATGGATTCTTGTCCAATATCACAGACATCCTTTAGGTGGCGGGGGCGGAGACGTCAAACTCGTCAAAGTGCTGGGTGAAGAGAGACCTGGCCTATCAGAGGACTGGGTAAACGTGATGCTTCGGAGTCGCCCTGTCTTTCGACGAGTACTTTTGTTTGAAGCGGCACCTTCGAAGCCCCCAGATATGTACATATGAACTATTATCGCTTGTTTGGGCTAGGTGAGTAGGTATTGTGGGCTTGGGAAAACCTATGGTGCCGACGTACTGCTTGAAGGGATGAATTAGGTAATGTTGTATCTGCTTCATGTATTGGTAACCTCGGCTCGCAGCATGTTAGTGAGAAGGATTTGGCTGTTCTTAGTTCTTGTGTTAGGTTCGTATAATAGGTGAAGGAAACCCATCTCCTAGGTAATTAAAGTGTGTTTGACTTCTCAAGGCTGAGTGCTCAGAGGTCTGATCAGTAGTATACGTGAAAGTTCCTACGCGAATTGTTACTACTGCCGATATTCGAGAGCTTATAGTTTACCTCTTAGATAGGTAGAGATTCAACTCATCGTTAATTTCTTTTTACCCACTCCTTGACTAATTGGTTTACGAGGTGCTGTTCTTCGCAACCACGAGGGTCCCATACAATGCAGCTCATAGGTGAAAGTTTGCTACCAGGAATCCACGAATTCTACAGGCTTCGTGGTCTAGAGGTATGATTCTCGCTGTAAGTCGCAAACACTGTCCTTCACTCATAGATGAAGCCCACTAACCCCAGCATAGTAGGGAAAACCTAAGGTAAATATGCGAGAGGTCCCGGGTTCAATTCCCGGCGAAGCCCTTCTTTTTCGAGTGTGGTTTATTTTTGCCTGGATTCGCTCGAGGAGCGTGCCTCGAGAGACTAGGTAAGCAGGTACCTGTATGTGTCAATTCCCAGAGGTTTGGAACGACACTAAACTTACCTAGTTGACGGTTGAGTTTGCAGTTAAGGGTATTTATGTGCCAAGCGAAGCCTAACCCTAGACCTACCTTACCAGCTTACCAAATTCTAAACCGTAAAGCATTCAAGTTTCCTACACAGCATTCCAGCAAGATTCAAGTCACAAAGCATCCAAGAATAACGAGGAACAATACCAGTAATGCGATGCGCCTCCATCTAAGCTGTAGAAATGTTGCTGGATGAGAAAACCCCAGGGTAGCGCGGTCATCTAGGGAAACACACCAACTTCCTTACATCAATGTTGAATGACCTCATTTGCCATTGATATCCCGGGATTCTTACCCCATATTCCGGAAGGAATCCATTGTGCAGCTAACGCGCACAGCGACATTGAGGTGGTGACTATTTTTACCGCAAGGATTCATTTCGACCATGTCTCTCATTTCGGTGTTGGTGGATTCGTGGCAGCGCAAGTGGGCTAGAAGACCAGGGTCGACTCTCCCGAAATACGTTCGGCAATGCGAAGTTGTTTGTTAATTATCCAAGAACAACATCCATCGAAATCTCAAGTCGGTGTGCAAATTTTGCGGTTTGGTTCAACCCAGGTGAGCGCTTTTGTGTATCTATAATTACCATGCGGTTTTATACTATAATTGCTACTGCAAGTCGAAGTTGAATGTTGGACTAACAAGAAGACAGGTGCCTGCCAACTCAATATTGAGCCAAGATGCAAAGTCTGGTTTAGCTCTAGCCTACAGGAGTTTACCCCGGCAAAGCAGACCCCCTTGAATAAGGCTAAGTCCCAATGCATCATAGTGCATACCGTTGCTAGCAATATTAAGGGGCGTCGACTTGTCTTATAAAATAACCCATGAGCCCTCACCATCTCACCAGTTAAGACATGCTGCTTTTTCAACTCGTGCACGTGAGTCGAGACGACGACGACGCATGGCTCATTTGTTACTAGATATGCATTCATAAGGTCGGATAGGCTTCTATTACCGACCATCACACTCCTTTGCAGCAACAACAACGACGATAACATGTATACTAAAGCAATCATCCTGGCAGCGCTTTGCGCCTGCGCGTCCGCTCAGATACCGGCCCTCTTACCCCGCAAGACAACCGAGAGTGGCGCCGAAGAGACCACCTCTTCGTCTCCGGAGTGCCTCTCCCGTGTACAGTCGTGGGCCGGCGCCGTTCCCACTCCTGCGCCGGAGCTGGCAAGTGCGTTGGACAACGGCGCATATGGCGACTCGGGCGTGGCGGGGCTTTGCGACTTCGCCAAGGACCTCCCCAAAGCCGAGGCCTCGGCTTTCACGTCCTACAACCTCGACATGTACTCGTACCTCTCAGCCCAGAGTTCCAACTTGGTTGCTTTGGCCACCAGCTGTCCCGGCGATATGGGCGCGCCGCCGAAGGTCATCACTAGCCAGCTCGACGAGTTGTTGACCGTGTACTCGAGCTTCTCGGCCGGAGCTTGTAAGAAGGCGGCGGCGACGAGCCCTACTGAGGTGTCGACGACTACTGACTCGTCATCAACTACCCGTGCGTCAACTACTCGCGTATCGACTACTTCCGGTTCCGTAAAAATCGTCGGTGTCGCGTCGTCAACTTCCAGTAGCAATTCATCATCTTCGTCGACGACGGCATCTTTTGAGGGCCTGACGGCAATTCCTACTTCTACTAATAGCGGATCTTCAACGATGGGGGCAGGGAGTAGCGCATCGTTATCATCATCATTACCTTCTTCTTCTTCAACATCAACGGCTGCAAGTCAAAACGCCGGACCTAGAGAAACCGGCATGCTTGCTGCGGCTATCTTGGCCGTAGGCTTTGCCGGTGCTGCTGTGGTGTTATGATAGGAGTACTTACCTAGTTTGAGATACCATATAATTGAAATATAAGAGAAATTGACATTCTACTTGATAGGGCCCTGTTTATCTTAGCGTGCTTATAATTTCGGCTTCTATCTCAGGATTAAGCACCACTCTCATTACGTACCCTTCCTTTCGCCGTGTTTGCATCAATATGAATCGACTATTGGTCTGGCTTGCTACAGCTATACATTCATCTAATTGTCGTCTTCTATTGCGACAAGCTAAGTGGTGTGGGACTCTACGGATAATGCCTCTGCAAGCGTAGGTGCTCGGCAGATCTGGTACTGGTAACATCTGCTCTTGGCGTTGTTTAGGCCACTTGATCTATGTCACATCACCCTTCGCCCAGTAATCCGTCCTCTATGCCTAATATCGCGGGCCTCGCGAGATAAGACGCTCTCAAGTCCATATGGAATATACGGGACTCTTACATCTCGGCACCAATCCATGGCGTCTCTAGAATCATAATCCCACGGTGCGTAATACCAACTACTGTGAAGCTAGTCTACCTAGGTAGGTAGCCATTCGTACGCCACCAGACTTGTGTTGTCAGGATACCTGACCTTGATACCTGACCTGTCAGGATGGGACTTGGGCAGGAAGACAAAGAGGTTCTTGTATGTATACCCGGGGTCTCCCCCAGATAGGTTGTAGTCCCTCGCGGAACAACATAGTTCATACTCCCCCATATGGTCCGCCTCGTGACATGTGTGTCTCCATTGACTCTGTCGTCATGGAATGGAGGAGCATTTGGAATGCCTTATCAGGACCCTAGGACGAGGTCAGTAGTCTAGTCCTTCTGAGAGCAGCACTTAGAAATTTGGTATTCATTGCCGATGACTTGTCATCGACTACCAGAAGAACTACGATGAATTCTCCACACACACATCGACCAAGACAATCTCAAGTAGACTTATTTTCAGCCGGCTTTCCGCCACCTTTTCGGATCTACGATATTTAAGACATGAGACACATATTTGAAGAGATCTGCGACGAAGTTCCGTAAGTGATATCTTCGGATAGGACATAAAAGCTTTCCAGGGGTTAGTATCCGACCGAGCGCAAGAAGGCTCTGAAAGGCCTCCTATCGTATGGAAATTATAATCTAGATACCTGGAATAAGAATCAATGAAAGTACTCCTACACTTCGTTCTAATTGGTTATCTGATATTCTTTAGGATGGCTGTTCTGATGCCTTCTCCCTTCCGGTCGGATGAAATTTATTGCTTGAGGGATATCACGAAGCAAATACAACAAATGTCTGGACAAGTCTTCCGGCAGAAGATTCACCCTCGGGACGCCCAATAACTGCCTATGTAGTAAGCCCATAGCGTCAAAGATTTACAGGTTTACCAATTATGGCTGATGTGTGGCACAACGAGACGGCGAAAGGCCAGTCAATATTGTTGATCACTCACCAATAAATGTGCCCAAACTACCCTTCACTGGTTGGAGATCGGCAACCTCGGGGAGGAGATATCTTTTGAAGGAGGGCTGTGACAAGAGAACTAGATCCAGGCCTTATGTATCACATTATCTAAGACATCCGGAGCAGTGTAACAATTTGGGACGCTCATTGACAATACTATTGTGGTAATCTCATATTAGCTGACAGATCATGTGGCTGACTTATCTGGACCACACAGTCCCAAAGGATTTAAGGAAGCTCTTTGATAGTGTATGCACACCTCGATGATTTGGATACATGGGAGTCGCACGAAATTTGCTAATGGCTGTGCGAAAATGAGAGTTGCACTCATTACATGACGAATTATGACGGACTACCAATTATCCTATACTGAAGTTCCGGAAAGACGTCAACCTGAGCGAACAACTACCTCTTGCTCTGTCGATGATGCGGTCTGTATGACTTCGCATTGGATGGATACCCCTATTCACACAACCCACCTACATATCATCCTTCATGGCGACCAACTACAGCTTGCTATGCAAAGCTACTATTGAAATAGCTGGCGGAGTATGACATAGACGGCTTGGGAAATGGGAGGGCCGAGAAATCATAAAGGAACGACCGGATCCCTTTACATATAACCTATCAGTTGAAGAAAGGTACGGCTGTCTTCTATTCACCTGTTCTATTCACCCGGTAGACATGGCTTTACCTCAGATCCACGGCGAATTTGCCGACCTCGCCGCTCGACTGAGTGGGAGGACTCTTCATGTTCCAAATCTGAAGATGATATTTTCAGGATGGCCGGCTGGGACGAACGCGAGGTTGGGAGACCTACGTAATGAGATCGACGGCCGCATGCTGGGAAGGTCTGTCCTCCCATAATATCGATGCATTTCCATCATCGTTCAAATTAGGGACTACTAACCGTCAGATCTCTTGATAGTGGCATATCTGATCCAAACCGGGTCCAAAAATACAAACGGGCTGACTTTGGCCTTCTTACTTCTGTGTAATTATCCCATGTTGACCAGTTCTGCCGTTGGCACCGTGTCTTGTGCTTTGCTAACAGGTGTATTTCCTTGTCAGCTGGTTCCCTGATGTCAATCAATGGACAGGACCAAGGTTCATATTATTCTTGGTCCCATCCCAGAAGAAATATCTAACAACAAAACTTCCGCCATCGTTAGCCCAGAGGGAGCTTGTCTACAGGGAGTTCGAACTTTACATGCTCCAAGTTAGCATCGAGTCGAACCGGAGACAAGATGGCAGAATACCCACCCCGGAGGAATACATGCGTACTCGTTTTGGAACATCAGCTGTAACTACTCTGATTTCCTTCATCGAGTAAGTATTATTCCCTTAGGAGACTATACTTACTAACGATACTTCTTAGCTACATGAATGGAATTACACTCCCACAGTGGGTCATGGAGAGTAAAGAGATGGAGGTCATCTGGAATGAGACTTGCACCCTGTGCTATGTGTAAGTTGTATCTTTTCGCTCAAGATGAGTTCCAAGCGTTAACCACATGTTATAATCAGCGTCAATGACATCTACTCGTTCAAGGAAGAATTGGTAAGCCTCTAGTTCAAACAACGCGTCTGAC